GACATTACCTCATGCTGATGATGATAGTGATGAGGAGATGGAAATAGATGAAGAGGCAGTCGAGAGGCTCTGTCATCAAGTGGGCTTGCAGTCATCTAGTTGTGGAGATATGGAAGGAGTTTCTGAACAACCTGATGTGGAAGACCTTGGAGATCCTATTGTAGAATCCTCAGACATTACCTCCTCCAAGCATCTATTTGAAGGAGAAAAGTTAAACTCCTTGGATGTTAAAATGGATGATGGAGAAGCACCGGTTGTTTCTCTGAACAGTTCAACGAATTGTCTCTCCCCATCTGGCCTTAACGTCACTGTTAGTGAGACATCTCCTCTGAAGTCTCCAACTCCGAGTGTTTCCCCTAGAATCACCAACTCAAGCCGAAAAAGTCTCAGGACTTCGTCCATGTTGACTGCATCACAGAAGAATTTGGAAAATGACACTTCCATAGAGCAAGGAGGTCTGCGCATTTCTTCTCCAAAATCATTAAATAAGAGCTCATCACATCACCTGCCTACACAGAGGAGCAGTAGCTACCTTGTACCTACTGAACACTTGGCAGCAAGCCTCCAACGCGGTCTTGAAATAATGGAACGCAAGAGTTCAGCTCTGAGAAGGTCGTCATTCAGATTTTCATATAAACCTGCAGAATCTAAGTCAATTGTTCCTGTTATCAAAGTTGACACAGGAGTGCAAGTTTCATTGGAAGACAACCCGATGGTTGTCGAAGCTCCAGTGGATTACTTGTGCAGGAATTGCAGAACCAGAACACAGACAGATATTAAAGATGTTGACGGGGGCAACCTGCAGATGGTGCCAGTTGGTGGGTCCGAGTCCAGTGAGAAATCAAAGAAGCAAGTTCCCAAGGTAAACCTAAAGGCTGCAAAATTTGAACTATTTTCCCCATACCTGACTAATCTGTATCATAGAAGAAAAGGTGATGTCAATCTCTCATATGTCATACAGGCAGTGGAAAAAGTTTTGGCAGGATCTTTCAGGAGGGAAATGGCACTAGAAGAATTTTGTGGGAAACAAGCAGCAGAGATAATGCAGCTTAACCGCTTGGTAGGTTTGCTAAACGTGCCATTCTGAGACTTGACTTAGTAAGAACTAAAAGTTTGACCATTTTGGGAAATCTTTTACAGGTACAACAATTCAAACATGAGAGAGAATGCAGCGCTATAATAGCACAGACAAGAGAGGATAAAATACTTCGTCTCGAGAGCCTCATGGATGGTGTTATGCCAACTGAAGAGTTTATGGGGGAAGAATTTGCCTCTCTTAATCACGAGTACAAGGTAGAGTTTTGCTCTAAAGTATTTGCACATATATTATAGAGTCAATGTGATGAAATAGTGTAAGTTCTTTCCTTTGTTTTCAGCTTCTGAAGGAGAAATATGAAAACCATCCTGAAGTTTTGCAGTCAAAGATCGAGCTAAAAAGACTGCAAGATGAACTGGAGCAATATCAAAACTTCTTTAATAATGGGGAAAGGGAAGTACTGCTGGAAGAGATTCAAGACTTAAGAAGCCAGCTCCAGTATTATATGGATGCTTCCACTTCAATGGGTACGAAACGCAGTCCGCCACTTTTATTGGATTATCCATGTGGACCCAGTTCAGCTCCATCGTTAAGCACAGTCCCAGAGTCCAATGAAGAAAGCGCTGAACAGAAATTCGAACAAGAGAGAAAGCATTGGACTGAAGCAGAGAGCAAATGGATATCACTCACTGAAGAGTTGAGGATGGAGCTTGAAGCTAGCAGGTCACAAGCTGTAAAGTGGCAGCAGGAATACGAAACTGAGAAAAAGTGTGCAGAAGATTTGAAAGAAGCAATGCAGTGGGCTATGGAAGGGCAAACAAGGATGCTTGAACAGTATGCCGATCTTGAAGAGAAACATATTCAGTTACTTGCAAGGCATAGAAGAATGCAGGATGGTATAGATGACGTGAAGAAGGCAGCGGCTAAGGCTGGTGTGCGAGGTGCTGAATCTAAGTTTATAAATGCCCTTGCTGCAGAAATATCAGCTCTGAAAGTGGAAAGAGAAAAAGAGAGGAGATACATGAGGGATGAGAACAGAGAACTTAAATCTCAACTGCATGATACTGCTGAAGCTGTGCAGGCAGCAGGTGAATTACTCGTGAGGCTTAAAGAAGCAGAAGAAGCTGTTGCTTCAGCCCAGGTGACTTTTGCATTTTCTTTACTTGCTGGAACTTCCTGCTTTTACAAAGCTGGGTTGTATTGTTTGCCTCATATTGCACCTTCTAATTTGTGGCTGGTGTGTGAACTTCATGATATGTGCTAAGCCACATCCACTCATCACTGGCATCAGGGCAGCGCATGTGGCATGCAGTACTGCTCACTGATTCGTGTAGTTTTCTTGAGAGTTCAATTGACAAATAGATTTGCATCTTCCATTACTTTTATATGAACAGTGAAGAACATCATGACATCTGCTATTTGGGGAGCTATACATGATGATGTGTCTTATATACTCATGTAAACATTGGGCATATGTTATTTTTTAATACGATTTGCTTTCTCTTTGGGCCTGCAAAGTTTTACATAGGCTGAAGGAAAAGTTCTTTAAGATTGTAATTTTTTTAGTCGAACCTGGTAGTTTTCACTATTTAGGTATGGAAGATCAAGGAATATGAGAGTAGTCAGGGAACGTATTTTGGTTCATATGCAGCCGATGTCTACGGGGGGTTAATAATGCTAATAACCCGGTTTTCTATGAATTGTAGTATGATAATCTGATGTGGAGTTTTAACATGCTGCAGAAACGAGCTACGGAGGCCGAGCAAGAAACTCAGAAGGCTTACCAAGAGATAGATAAGTTGAAAAAAGAGCACCAAACTGAGATACAGACTGTGAACCGCCTCCTAGCAGAGTCTAGATTGCCTAATGAGGCATGCGGAGCTGCTGATTTCACCGTGGCCAAATACGACAAGGGCGAGCCCCAAAATGCGGACGACCAGCAGTGGAAAGAAGAGTTCAAAGAGTTTTACGGTGGTGAAGACAGTGAGTTGTCTAGACTTGTGGAGCCTAAATCATGGTTCATGGGATACGATAGTTGCAATATATAGTGAAGAGAAATGTAATTGCTGAGTCATGTATGTATGTATGTGTTACATAGGACCCTCGTGGCAGCTCCTTCTAGTCAACCCTTTTTCGCATTGATTGTGAGGACCAGTGTCTTGGTTCTCTTTATAAGCTTTGTATCATCAAAATGTTAGATCCTCACTTTCCAACTCTTACATATAAAGTGACATGGCTTCATTCTTTTATTCAAATTGTCTTTGGTTGGACCAGTGTCGACCCTCTTCCTATTCGTCGTCCATCATTGTTTTCTAGCATTTGAAAGAAAACAACCGTCGGAACGGTTGTGGTTAGGTCAGACATTTGTTATGCACAGTAACAAGCCGAACTGTTCTTTGTTTTCAAAGGGATTTTTGGTTGAACACGGTGCACAAGTAGTCATGACATTTTCTCCCTTAATAAGGGTATTCTCCATATTAAACATAAGTTAGGCTAGAAGAAACTGAAATTTTTTGAAATGAACTCGGAGCACTGTGAAGAAGACTCCATGCTTTAATTCCTGGTTTTAGTGATTATAGTCGGGCGGACGCGGAGACAGTGGAACGACGGAAAGATCACCAAAACCGAACGCAGTTATTTGCTATTCGAGTTCGGATCAGATCAATCATGTTCCCTGGAATGCAGTTCTTGCATACCCCATGAGGCTCTCTCTGCCTTGTCCATCTCAATTGCACTTCTCAAAATTTTCGCTACGACCTTGGCCTCGCCCTCTTTTGAACGAGTCTACTGATTTTTAAGGGCCATTACGGACAGATGGTACTTTTGGGTCACTGCTATAAATTTCGGGATAGTGATGTCCCACAGAATAAATTATGTGTTGGGCAGTAAATTACGAGACTATACCATAAGTTATGTTCAGAGACCGAAATTGATGTGCTGTGGACTCTCTGTGAGATTAATTACTTCTTTTCATGATATGTGAAGATTTTTTATATTGAATTCCAAAGAAAGAGAGGTCATTTTGCCCTTTAGGAAAATTGGAAAACTAGTTCTCACGGTGTCGCACTCAACGGTGATGTCCCTCTACCCGCCGTAAAAAAAGGATCACAAGCATGTCGTGCCCGCCAAAACAAGATTTGAATCCGTAAGATGAATCTAATGATGATGGCCGGTTCTTGCATCATTATAAAATTTATTGTCTTGGGTAAAAAGTTATTGACATATAGATGTTTTGGGAGTAAGTTCAGTGTGAATTGATGTTAATATTAATATGGATGTGCAACACTAGATACTCTTACTTGAAAATTTACTAGTCACGGTAATGGATTATTATCCACATGAATTTCTTACTTTTCTATATTACAATTTAGAAGCCATATTGAGGGAATTACAAATTACTGACTTAGACAATTTCAATTTTTTTATATGAAATTAAATATCGAACTCGAGAATTAACTAAGTCCAAAATAACTTTTCAAAATTCAAAGTTACCAGTAACATATGAAAATCAGTAGTTACTAATAAGTACATACATTTTCAGTTAAAAAAGGGTACTTACCATATCGAAAAATTTACTTTTAATATTCATTTTTTCATATTGTAACTTGAGAAACATTGCCAATCAATTTATGGAGTTATTAATTTGTGAAATAGGAAAAGTTATTTTTCCAAAGACAGAACTTACTAATCCATTGAAAATCTCAAGCAAAACCATTGGAACTTGGGCATGATGCTGATTGTGCACATTGTATGCTGTTCCATTTCTTCGGTTCTTTCTAAGCCTTTTTACATTTGACTCTCACTGGTCATCTCATATTTCAGTGATCTCTCAGCTGCTTTTGTCCCAGAATTCATAGTGCCAATACATGAAGCAGCAATACACTTATCTGAAAGTTAAAGTTGGATGATGTGCAACAGATTTCGCCGGACTCGGACAATACCTTCAAGAGGTAAATGAAAAGTGTAGGAGAATTTCCATTCATGCTCTACTCATTTGCAATTTCTGCAATCTGTAAAAATACTTCTCATTTGTTTCGTCTGTCAGATTGAAGTTTGACAGCTGACTTATCTGAATCTCTACTAGGACAACTTCGAATGTTGTGTCCTTTACATTGGCATAACCTACAAGTATACGTCTTTCTCGCGGAAATCAGTCTAATTTTCATATCATTACTGACTCGAATGGCCCTGACTCTCTTAGGGCACGTCCGGCGATTATGGCCACTCTGACTGCAGATTCTGCAATGAGGAGACTTAGCGGCGGGGCTTTTGGTGTATCTCCACCCTGGCTTATTACAAGTTCTTCTATTATGGCCCTTTTTTCCACAGACCTGACATCTGAAACGCCTGTCGATCAAACTGTCCCTTAGTTCTGGACAATAATGCCTCCTATGTCCTTCGCGTCCACAGTATGAGCAGTAAAATCTAATGCCTGCAAGGAAAATACAGGACACAAGTTCTCATATAGCTAAAAGGAAGAGTGGATCTGCTTCTCTAAAGAGAGCGAGGAAACAAACTCTGCTTGCAAGTCGCAAGTATAGGGCCAACAGTTTGACAATATACAATTCCAAAACAAATACGATATCGGTGAAGTTTTGAAGTATCGACGCGCCGAAAGTAAACTTCTAGCAGCAGCATTTTTAAAGGGGTAACTTTAAGCATGTTGATCAACACGGTTCAATGCAGCGAAATGAGGCGGACCAAATCATGAAACAAGCATTTTAAAAAGCATTTGGCTCGGTGTCTTAGAGATGACACCTGTATCAGGTACAACACCTGATCTAAATCATTTGCCACCTTGGGGATCAGCAGTCGATGAATTTAAGAGGGAGTGTCGCTGATGGAAGGTCGAGAAAGGAAAATCGCCTCTATCTCCTTATCTCTTTGTGCTTCAAGGAGAGACTGCAGATTATGAAATAATCTGGAAGAGATGGTAGTCTTCCTCATCATTCTAGGAGCAAAACACGCTCACCTCTTAACGACTTAAAGGCGTTCACTAAGGAAACACATGCTGTCATAATGTCGCAGAAAATCTTCTATAGAGGATCAAAATTCACATCAATGACTATTTAAAACTAAACACACCTGATATCTTATACAAACTTACCTTTCATGGCTATGCTCCTCTTTCGGCGGTTTTCAGGATCACTGAAAAAAGCTTTCTGCAGTTCAGAAGCACGTTTCCTTGCTGCAGGAGTTCCTTTGGCTTTCTTCATGACGCAAAATAACAAATTCTTTAACACTTGAATTTTATTTCTAGACAGACAAATAAACTTGGAAAAGAGACGAGCTTCTCATAACATCCTGATAATCAATAGGATAGGATAGCACTGATGACAATTTTCATGAAATTGCAATTATGCTTGATTGCTGACAAATTCTTTGAGTGAAATGCAGTGGCAGAAAAGTCTCATATGGAGGAACCATAGAAGTTCTATGGGTTTAGTGAAGAGAGAAGTCTATACAAGAAGTTCTACCAAGTAAAATTGGACTGGTTGATAGTGGAATTTGGCCGGATTTTGGCCTTGTTTGTGACACTTGAGTGATTACTGGATATTGGGCTGATTTGCCGATGATGCTGGAAGAGAGGACACTGGTAGGTGCAGACTTGCGTAATGGGTCCAAAACCTCTATATTTTTATCACACGTTGCTTCCATGTGTAAACTTCTATTTGAAAGAACCTAAGAAGTTTGGAACAACCACCTAGATCCATCTTGACAAAGCAGAATGCATTGTTCATAGAAATTGATGCACCAGTGCAGAAGCAAACTTAAATTAATTGATTTTGGTAATACAGGCTGCAAATGCAGAAATTAAGGGCAATGGGCGTCACCACATCAAAAGCATCAATCTTAAGAGACAAAGTTGTTGGACTTATCCTACTAAAAAGCATGTCAGATAGAGAACACTAGAAGCAAACTCAGGTATAACTGTTTGTTAGAAAGTCCAACCCAAAAGCTTAAGCTATTAGGTGGAGGGAGACCACGTGAATATAAAGAGCATTTAGGACCCATTGTCAATCGATGTGAGATAATTCTTCAACACCCCACTCACGCGCAAGCCGGATTACGAGTAGCACGTGAAATTTTGACATCGCACGTTCACATGAAATTTTTACCATGCGCATTCGCGAAAGAAACAGCATTGGCTCTAATACCATTTTAGAAAGTCCAACCCAAAAACTTAAACTATTAGGTGGAGAGAGACCATATGAATATAAAGAACATTTAGAACCCATTGTCAATTGATGTGGGATAATTCTTCAACACTGTTGAAAAGGTAAAATTTGGTGGAAGCCTCATAGGAAATTTCTCTATCTTTACGTGGAATTGGAAGCAGACATCAGCACCAACATGGGATTCACAATCCTTAGTACTGCTATGCTCATGCAATTGACATTATGGAAGGCCAAAAAAGACTCTGAAAAAAGTACAAACAACTTCAGGTGAAAGGGTGTTTCAGAGAAGAAAAACAAACCTTGATTGCAGCCACTCTTTGTGCATGAAGCATGGGATCACGGTGAATGATCTTCATTCTGTTGCTAAATAGTCCAGTTTTCTCATTAAGACTCTGATATCAGCAATAAGCAAAGAGGTTACAACATGTCATCACAAAAAATGCAGTGTCTGAAAGTCAAAAAAATACCTCCCCCCAGACATATAAATGCCCTACAGCAGTAATTGCAATCCTTCATCACCAATAATGTGCATATTATGAATGATCCTGTGATGGATGTGATAAATTTGTACTTTCTAGCTTGTAACATCTCTTCACAAGAACCCACTTATAATTCAACTAATATCAACTGCCAAATACAGCTACATAACTTATGCTGGCGTTACAGTGTCTAACAATAGGAAATATACATAAATGCACCCCGAAAATTTCTCGATCCATATTTTGGCTAACTACAGATGAAGTGGCAAACTAACTTTAAGTGCTCGGCTGATCTTCAGACCAACTTCAGGAGATGTTGACTGGTACACTCGCTTTGACTTTTTCCTTACATCCAGCTTTATGTCTAGATTATCAACTTCATCATCCTCCTTCACTTTGAATGGAGAACTGTAGGAAATAAGAGCAAAAGTTAAATTGTCTGAACTGTCAATTTATTACCAAAAGTTTAATTGTCTCTATGACCACCGAGTGGCACCTCAAAGTCGCACCTTACCACCAGTGGGAACAAGATGCAAACAGCCATCCACAAGACGTTTCATTACCCAACAAACCCCATTTGTGGAGCCGAATTCCTAGGGAAGGTCACTAATAGATAATAGACCTAAACAAGAAGAACGCATTTTCATGGAACTATAACAGAAAAAACAAAGAGACATGGAAGTTTTAAAGGAATTGTGGAGTTCCAACAGTCATCTCCACGCTCTGTAAAACATAGCTCAAATATAAGGGCACATTTGATTCGGTACACCACCAAGTGCAAACATTATCTAGTAGCCACTAACTTGAGCTTCAGCTTGCTTGTCCATGAGATAAGCAGAATCTTTTAGTGGCCCATAATTTATCCACCGAAGGTAAGTTTCTTTGTCGATGTAGATCATGCTCAAACTTTAACATGATAATAAAAAGTTGCATACATTCAGTAAATTCTTCAGCTCAAATATTGCAAACACAGATAAACTAGAACACTACCAAATTGAAGGAATTGTAGCATACTAAAATGACTACAATAACGAATTTCCATTGCTAGAATAAGGAATTCCAACAAAATGATAAAAATTAAAATGGAAAGGGAGCTACAGAGTTACCAGAAGGTCTTAATAAGTGCGGATGCTCTATAATATTGATTTAAGAAGAGGAAACACGACTTTTACAGACCATAACTAAATAAACTTAAAGCAGGAGGTAATGAGGTTACATGGATCGGGCTTTCTCCCAAGGTTGTTCATCAATTGATTCTTCCCATAAAACACATTCGCCCAAGCACCGACGGCAGGTCACTATACCCTGTTGAAATGATCAGCCAAGTCAATCCGGTACATTGTGGACAGAGGACAACAATTTCACGTGACTCTGATTTTAGGATTGCTCATGACAGAAATTATCTAACAAAAGCATGATCAGCCTTTGCAGTAGATTCAGGGGATTTGTGAAAGATATGAGCTAACGGATGACTTTGAGCAAATATTGCTGCATGACAACGAGAGAGAGAGAGAGAGAGAGAGAGAGAGAGAGAGAGAGAGAGAGAGGGAGGGAGGGAGGGACATAAGCACCAGCCAGTAACATGCCATTGCTGCTGTTTGTTCAGATAGGTGATCAAGTTAGGTAGGCTACCCCCATAAGAAAAATGTATAAGAAATTAATTTAGCCCACCCATTTAAGCTAGATGTTTCATCACTCAGCAACACAGAACTAAATCATGATCGTGCAGTTTAAGTTCTTATTCTTTAGACCAATTCGGGTTTCCATTTACCGACTTATTTTGACTTAGAACTTCCTTTTTTGTCAGATAAGTATGAACTGTCCATTCTTCCATCAGTGGTAAGTATATTAATGTAGCACCGATATTCAGAGCATAGTCATCTAATCAATGTCAAAATACCTGTCCACCTACAGTTGTGGCCAAGTTGACCAACTAGTGCAAATTGAATGAAAACAATTAAATGCAATACTTTGATTCAACAATGGTGCCTCAATCAAAATGGTCAGTGGAGAATTTTATCAGTTTTTTATTTTTGAATCTTCTACTCAAATTTAATAATGGATATTCCTATTTCTATGAGCTATTTTAACCACTCATAAAGAAGTCAAGGTGGCAGTTTTCCTCCAACGATGAATCCAATAGAAGTATGTACAATGCAAAAAGTAAAAATCTTGTGCAAGTGCAATAGACATTAACCTAATGCATATTTCTGCAATATGATAAGACAAGTCTATTATATGATAGAACGTATCTACGTAATATTATTCGAACTTCATCTTTACCTTACATTCTTGCCCTTCCTAGCCACCTGACTTCTACTTCACCAGATCATAATTGCCGGAACAGAATCTATATAGGCAATGGGAGATCTCTACTTATTATATATTCCTCGCATTTTTCATCATGATGTATCAATCTAAGTGTATTGAGTAAACCAAAGAAACTGAAAGGAACTTGTAAGAACTCGCACATGAAAAACCAGTCTGACTTTCGTTAAACAGCTGTTAGGACTTGTCAATTAAAATTGGAAAAAGACTGTAGCTATATATGTCTATTCTCAACTCTAATACTTGCTGAGAACTACTAGCAAAGTAATTGGCCTCCACTTGATAGGTTTTGAAAAAAGAATTCACTAGTACAGATCCAGATTGAATGTCTTCAGTCTACATGAAAAATTACATATCCCAGCTAATATGGCTTGGAGACCATTAACCAGCATTAATGTCGAGAACAAGATCAAGCTTCCCCTGTTCAAATTGACATTAATTATGGAAGATCGCTACAATAAAAGTTACCTTTCCACTGCACTGTGAACAGTCCAGTCTTGATCTTTCAATTCCGCAATCAGTACAAGGAGTATAACCCCTTCCCCGACAACTTGGGCAAGGCAGCTCTCTCATATACTGGCCACTAGGGCCAAACCAGGACCTTGGTCGGGGTGCGCCAGAAATGGCATTCCTGATATTTTGAATCAAGTATGTCAGGTGACAATTCATACTGTTAGATAGAAAACCAGAGATCAAATGTGTGAACCCAAATCGTGAAACGCTAAAATGCAGTGGCACCTACACTTTGGTGTGAAAAATTAAACATGCAAGATCATATAATATATGCAGAGATCTAAAAGAAAAATCTTCAACAATACCTATGGACCAACAACAAGCACAAACTTTTGGCAGACCTTAGTTTAGCAAGGGACTTCATACTGAACTAAAATCTTCCTGACTGCATATATGTACATTGTAATGCATATCGATATATCCTGCTGTCACATGGTACTTGCTCGGCGAGCTGATGCCATTCACATTTATTTAATCGATCGTTAAAAGTGTTCGCTCAAATGCTTGATCAATGCCTCCCTCTATGGTGCCTGCTGCTCGTGGATGTTTAGACGGGATGCATGCTATACTGCAAGGCCATTCTAGTTGTTTTTTTTAAGCAAGTCTGCATCGGCCAACTAGTGGCTGCAACATCAAGAAGCAAAACCTTTTCCGACTATGTAAAACGCTAATTTGTGTTAACAACAAAGTAAATATTGTGCGACCCAACAACATGCTTCACTGAAAAGCCAACACAGGCAAATGAAATCAGAACCAAAAGTCGATGGTTGGATCAAGGCAACGCAACGTGCATTGCAGTACCGACATAAATTCGGCCTACACTTACAGACCCTCATCTGACAAAATGAGGATGACAGCGAGAGCTAACCTTGAGGGCAGATCGACCTCGAGCCCCAGTAACTCCTCGGCCGGATCATAACCCACCTACCATTAACAACACGGAAGTCAAAAAACGAGGCAATTCACAAAAATGTCAAGAAGCAGTTTTTAAGCTCAATCTTCACTCCAACACCTTTACACTCTTCAGAGTCGCATGGAGAGTGAGTGTGTGGCTGTCTGCGTACCTGGCTCCGTCTCGGCTTCGGCGCTGAACCGTCGCTCTCCGAGCAGGAAGAAGGAGGAGGAACTGCGCGGATGATGAGGGAATGCTGCCTCTTGGAATACAAGGGGACCAAGACGAGGTAAGCATCCTTGCGTCTCCAAGGAGGCAAGAGAAGTCGCAGAGAGGAACATATCGAGGACATGTCCTGTAAATTCTGGGCAAACATATCCTCAAAAACGGAAACAACTGACAACAACGACAAACGCAACGACCACCACTGACTGGAAACTCTTCGCAGCACTATACGCTGTTTGCTTTGGCAGCGCAAAGTGATAATCTTGAATTTCAAAATACTATTTTTATTTCTGGAGCTGCGCCTTTTATGGCCACAATCTTGGGATTATCCTTTGTTGGGCATTTGATATCTTCCATTACAAACACGATACATCATTCTGATATCAACAGCACTAAATCGACATTGACCTGACTCAAACTTCATTGCATTTTGACTCATATTCGCTCTTTATTAAAAAAACTGCGGTGATTATGATTGATGGAATTTTCTTGTAATATTTTTTCCATATTTTTCTCGATATTTTTCTCGATATTTAAAGTAATTTTACTTTTGTTTTAGATTTTTGAATGAAAGTAGAAGCAAGAAGTAGTCTTTAAGCCCCAGTTAATTATGAAGTCACACTGTTCTATTTCAATCTTGGAAGTAAAGTTCCATTAGTTATGAAGTTTGTAACGTTTGCAGAATTCTCTAAACTCTGCTTCAACTGTATATTACAATTTACTGGTAAGCCGTGTTGAAAATGCTGCTGGGTCTTATTTCTAAGTCAGTTAATAATGTATTAAGAACAATTCTTTTCTTTTCTTTTCTTTGTTTCCCCTACTGCAGGTAATCTCAAAATTTCACCATCTGGTTCAGGGCAAAATTCTGTCAGAACATAAATACTTCAGGATCGAGAGGCCTATCATGTTGAGTGTTGTATGCATTTCGAACTGCTTATGATATTTAACTGGGAATTTAGCTGACTGCCCAAGAACAGTTTTGTGACCCTGAGAACTCATCATCTTCTTTACTGATTGTACCAGGTAAATGACTCATGACCCAGAGTCCTGTTTACTTTGACCCAAAGTCTTTGGGTTCACATAGATTTCCGGGTCCTTGGTTATTGCAATCTCTTGGAACCCTACTTGGCTCTTAGGAATAAAAGTTTCCAATTTCTCCAGGGTCTTCGGCATAACTCACGTTGCACATGCTGAAATACGGGCATTTTGCTTCTTTTTATTTTTTTTTGGTAACTGAGGTGTCTAGGTCATTTGCGCGCACCTCGACTATTCCTCGAGAGAGACTAGCACAGCAACCCACCGCCATGGCCCTCCACTTAAATCAAAAGTGCTCAACTGGGGAATCGAACCTGGGACCAGTGCGCCTAACCACACAATCCCAAGTACGCTCTAACCAACTGAGCTACCCATGGGTAAGTTGCATTTTGCTTCTTTTGTTCCGCCAAAAAGCAAAAAATTGCTGGATTTGTAATGCGTGTATATGATGCATTGTCAAACTGAAGATATCAATGAACTTTTATGAAATGATTTCTCGAGATTCAACCAATTGTCTTGATCGTGGAATATCATTAAAAAATAGGAATCCGTGTTATCAAAAGATTTCCTGCGATTATGGAGTGAGTCAATCATCCACTTTGGTATCTTATTGAACAAAAATTACAATGCTTAGTAGAATTCGGGTAGAATTTTCTCATATAAATGCTATCATAGAGTTGCTAACAAGCACTTGCTGCAATTATTTAGATTGATCACGAAGTTCAGCTCAAGGTTTATCTATCACAAATCGCCAGAATATTTTCCTAATACTCTTTGGTGTCCTGGCTGTCCTGGGTAGCGATGACATGGATCTAGCTCGGAACCTGCAGAGGAACATCATCCAGGTGACACCAAATTGATGGCTCAGTTTTCCAGTTTCTCAGAAACCAGATGCGCTCCATGTGAGCTGCTTTAAGTTCAATGGGCTCAAGTCCTTCAGTCAGCTGGAGTTCTTGGATGATCAATAATGATTCAAGCATTCACTGATCTATCATACCAGCAATTAATCAGGAGTCGGTTGACATGAAATTGGTTTTCAAGCTTTCAACCATTCTATTGGGGAGAAACACCATCAATCACTAACGTCTTTTATATTCAGCTTGTCACAACTCTACACAGAAGGAAAAGTACAGATCGCTCGCACTAGTAGCACTAACAGGTGACTCCTGGCAGAAGTATAAAAGGCGGTCAGCAATTTCCACATAATCAGCTCGGGCAACTTACGAAAATTGTCATTCAGTGTCGGCTGAATCATCAACAGTGCCTGATACAGCAATCACTTGTTTTGCGGACGCTTCATTTTGAGAAGATGAGTTAGGCCAGCTATTACATGAAGCCTACTGCTTGGAATGCCTGTTTTTGCCAGTGCGTTCCCATTTTTGTCCAAAAGCACAAAGCAAGGAACATATCTAATGTCATAGTGGAGGAGCTGCAGAAACAGAGACAACCAATTGAATAGCTTGTAATTTCTTAGAAGAGAGGCTGCGAAAATAGTGAAATATAACTCAAATGACGTGATGATTATGACACATAATTTGAGCAAATGTGCAGACATGAGACTTAGTGTGTGATTATAAGAAGATGGCAATTTCCAATTAACAGTAGCACCAGGAAACATGAAACAGGGACTTTTATCACATAGACTAAGAAAAAGCACCCACATTTATGGATCCTGAATAGCCCAAAAGGAAGTGCTTCTCATAGTAAACAGTATGCTAGTTTTGTAGCAATCACAACTGTGTAAGAGCTTCACTAAAAAATTTAATGACACCAAAGGAAGAATTTTTCTCAACCTAGTAAGGAGGTTCAATTCATTTTCAGATGCTCTACATTTTTGCACAAGAAGTAAAAGATGGCAAAATCCTTGAGGCTATTCAAAATTTAGCATCTCACACAAAACTCCTGCGTGGGACTATCCTTTGCAATTACTCCCTATAGAAGTAATTACTTAATGATTGCATAAAATGCTCCTATTGAATTTACCAGGTTGATGTTTCAGATCCAGACAAACAGAGATAAGCCCTTCGTCAGGAGGCACTTGTAAAAGAGAGACTAAGAAACAGAACGATGACAAAGACGAACCATAAAATTCACAATTTGACATGCAAAATTTTCAAGGACAACTAAAGAATAGCGATTTCCACAATAATGGCAATTCTCTCTTGAACATTTAACAGTTAGTGAAATTCTTGGCATAAGGTTTGCAAACAAAAGCGAGAATTTTGACAAGAAAGATGTTCTCATGCAAAAGAAAAAATCATCTTGGAGCTACTGGAGACAGGGATGACAAGTTTGAGAAAAACATGTCAATTCTATGAAAATTTTAGGCTCCCCTAAATTGGGTGTTTGAGGTACCCAATCAATAATAAGGATTTAGATGGATGCACACTTCCATATGGAAGGCATTGGGCAGGGCACAGCCAAACATTTGAATACTATGATGGAATTGACTTTAGATGCTAAGCAGTATAGAACTTGGCCAAAGGGATGTGAAGCCAAGCACGATTATTCAAATGGTCTGAAGTTATTATTGTTATATTCTGCTCTGCAGTTTTAATTTCCTAGTGAATTATATGGCAAAAATCTAAGTGTCAAAACAGGCAACAGCTCCTTCCCCAGTTTCCCTGCTCATCTTTTATAACTAAGAGCACAAGCTCACAACCATAAATCTAACCATAGATTGTTCCAGTTCCAAGCCATGTGAATGGTCTGCACACACACACATACTGCACGCCATGTATACACACGTAAGCGCATACGAACGCTCAAGTGTCTACAAATTTTTGAACAACGTACTCCATCTGTTGCCGAAAAACGTTCCATCCTAACATACAAAAGAAATCATCCCTCAAAAGAACTAGCTGTTCACACAATCGTCAAATTCCCAAATCTCAGAAACACCAGATGACAACCAAAAGACTCAAAGAGAAAGATACACGAAAGTACCTCAGGAAGCCACATCTCATTCTCTGCATCTGCCATAACAATGCTGAGCCAATCCGAATTCCGCCCCTCCACCTCCAGAACAAACTTGAGCAAAGAACTACACAGCCGGCACTTGGGTGAGTAGAACTCGATCACAGTGGCCTCCTTCCGACTGGCCAAAGCAGAGGCCAACGCTCTCTGCTCCGCCTCTCCTTGCTCTTCAGCACTCAAGCCCTTCTTTTGCGACTTCAAGACCTTGTCTTTACTGGTTCCAGCAACCAAGGGCGAGGATTGAGGAGATGGGTCATGAGAAAGCGGGGATTTTAAGGCAGAAACGAGGAGATTGGAAGCGAGGGAGCCCATGTTTTGCAAAGATTTGAACACCCATGGAGTTTCAAAGCTACAGCCTCTGGGGTCAGCAGGGTTCCGGTGGATGTCCCATGGCCATTTCAAGCAGAACTGAGGCTGTTTGGGACCAGGACCCATGAAAACTTATCTTGCCTTTGCAATGTTTTCTTTGCTTCAGTCTGAGTCGCGACTGCTCGGACCCGAATCCGAAGTCCGGCCACCGAAGGGAAAATTTGCGCCGCCGCCGCCGCCGTCCGGCTCGGCCGAAGAGTCTAACGAGAAGAAGTCAAGACAGCGTCGTCGTCCCCGCCGGCGGGGGCGGCGGCGATGAGTCGGTTAAAGGGAAGCGAAGGGGAAGCAGCCGACGGAGAATTGGAGATGGCAGGAGGTGCAGCGAAAATGCAAATGGTCTATGCTCTTAGGGCAGGTTTGGTTCGGCTTTTCAAATGCTACTCGAGGAATGCGAATACTTTAAGGTGAAAATCACTTCGGGAAATGAAGTGGTATTTGGTAAAAAATTATTTGAAAATCACTTAGGAAAATGTAATTGTGTTTGATAAATTCCTTTTTACAAATGGGCTTTGGGAGATTTTTTTTTTTTAAAGTACCCTTCGCCGGCTCCGGTGAAGGGCTACGGTCGCCGGCGAGCCAGATCTGGCGCCGGCTGCCGTCACCCGAGGAGGCCCGAGGTCGCACGACCTCAGGCCATCGCCGCCTGGGTCGCGCGACCACAGGTGACGGCCGCCTGGGATCGCGCGACGGCCTGGCGCCCGGGTCGCTCGACCCGGGCCGTCGCCGCTGGGTCGCGCGACCTCGGAAACTGCGCCCGGGTGGTCGCGTGACCCCAGGCGGTCGGCGCCCGAGGTCGCGCGACCCAGCGCTGGCCGTCGCCGCCGGGGGTCGAGCTACCCGGTGACGGCGCTGGGCGGTCGCGCGACCACGAGCGATTGTCGCCTGAGGTCGCGCGACCTAGGCGACGGCGCTGGGTGGTCGCCCGACCCTAGGCGGCCGTCGCTGGGTCGGGCGACCTTGCCGGCCTCGCCGGTCGCCCTAGCTAGCCACCCTAGCCGGCTACGCTTTGCTGAAGAAATTTTTTTTTTTTGGAAACAGTCAGCATTTGTGGAATGCGGAAAGCCCAAAGCTGGTCCGGACCAGCTTTGGGCTTTCCGCATTCCAAATGCTAGCTTTCGGCTTTCCTGACTCGGAAAGCCGAACCAAACGGGGTTAATGTAGACTATGATTGTCAATTATGGTTTTCTTTTTAGGGTGATTAACTTTTTTTTTCCCAATTTAATTTTCATCGAGGAATAATTTCATTCAATAGATTTTTGTCCATATATTTATCAAGTGACTGTGTTTAAATTTTTCATGGAATTCCAAAAGAATGTAATTCATTTGATTCAATTCGATCTTTTTTGAACAGCTAAATGTAATTGATCGCTTATTTTGACAAGATTTTGTATTTATTGTAAACAAAGGGTTATTTGAAACTATACGGAATTATCAAGAATTACGAACGTATTTTAAGATCTAATTCTCTAAAAAACCTCATCAACTTTAGGTATAATCCCAGTTTTGTTCTGAACTTTTTTTGTCTAAAACAATCATTAACTTTTACTCTAATCCCAAATTTGCCTATGTGTCCAAAAACTACCACTAATTTAAAATTTTTTAATCAAGATCAGGATAAGTTAAAGGTGCATTATCAAAACCTGCGACATCTACACCTTCGTATGGAACAACAACGACTTCTTAATATTGATAATCTTGAAGATATCAGATTTTTGGATGCACGGGTAGATTTGAGACTATAGTGAAAATCGATAATCTTTTTTAGACAAAAAACTTTGGGCTATAATTGAGAATGGATTTAAAGTTGGAGATTTTTTTAATGAATTATATCCGTTTCTTCATATATCAAGAATTACGAGATTATGTATGGGTGTCGGTTTTTCTCACATCCAAATTTTAATTCACGTTGATGGGCACATCAGTTTTCGATCGCCGAAATAAAAAAAAAATAGAGTGACTCGTTTAAAGAAATACTTCAAAAATCCAAACTAGATTTTGCATGAATCACAACCTCGAGGACCATATTGAGAAAAATAACGCAATTCGAGGACCGTATCTGCAATTTCCTTTCGAAGGGGGGCTAAATTGGAAAAGACAGAAAATTCCACATAAGGAAGAAAAGCTTCCTTCTTCACTTCGGGGATGTTCAGGAAACTGGAGCACACTTCTCCCCTGCTGCTGCTAGAGTCTCTCTCAAGAGTCCGTGGTAGAGATCGCCATGGCTCCTCCTCCCAGGGTCCTCATGGTGAGCTTCGAAGCGTGTGATCTCTCTCACCGTACGTACGCATGAAACCAAACGACATGGGTGCCCTGTACATGTCTCCGACGATGCCTTCTTCTCACCCGCTGGGCGCGGCTCTTTTTCTTCTTGAAAACTGCAGGTGGCGGAGAAGCCCAGCATCGCTCTCTCCATCGCTTCCGCCCTCACGCGGGGTCAGGTACGTTCTCGCTGCTTAACCCGTTGTTGGGTGTCGTGGGTTTCGTTTCCTTTCGGTTCTTAGATGGTGTCGTTGCGGTAAATGGAGTTTGATTCCGCTCGTTGTGGTTTACGTGGAGCGATGGTTTTGATTCATTACCGCTTCCTGTGAATTAGTTTCTTTCCCTATGACGGGTTCCCCCTAAAGTTTCGGGCCTACTTTGTCTGAATCCTGGATTTTTCGTTTCTTGGTGGGTTTGAGGGTGGTTCTAGATTGCGCTGTGGAATGATTGTTTTGTTTTTCCCATTCTTGGGTTTAAATATGCGCGTGTTACAGATGTCTACACGGAGAGGGAGCACCGACGTTCATGAGTTCGATGGGGCGTTTCTCGGGTTCAACGCGCACTATAAAGTGACTTCTGTTATTGGCCATGTTTTCAGGTGTCATTTACTTCCACTCTAGAATTTTGAACACGGTGCAAACGGCATTGATATCATTTCCGCAAGTGTTGGCCTTGACAATGGATCGATCACAGTCTGCAAGTCCCTACTTTGAACTCTAGGGTACTGATGAATGAGGTCGATTCAGAGTGAATTGGTTCTATTGATCGCACTTACACCGCCCTTCCTATTTCCCGCGAGATATTTTGAAGCATTCTTATATTTTCGGCACATTTGATGGTGTATTGTGTCTGAACACAATTGCTTGAATTTGAAAAGCTGCTAGTCTCGCACCTAACACCAGATCTTATATAGTGATACTATCACTAGCACTGGCAGTATTCGTTTCTTAAATTTTAGTTCTTTTGCATTACGTTCGGTTGGCATTGAAGCTCACAGAGGACTTTCTTTATGATTTCTTTCTTTGTGTGTTGAATCTAGTTTAGATTTCCCGACAACTTATCAAGACTGGACAGCCACCAATCCTCTGGATCTCTTTGAAGCTCCAACATTTAAGACAGAGACAAAACCAGAGGTATAACTGTTTTTTTTCTCTTCTTCAGTTTTTGATGGTTCTTTTTTCTTCATTTTTTTTTTCTCTTTTTTAACATCACTGCATGTTTATGTGCATATATTGTGGATCTAACTATGTTTGGTAAATTCTTTCATGGTTGAAGAGAATTTTGCTCTTGAGATTACCATAGGATATTGATTTTCAGATCTTTAAGATGTTTGACACTTTATACATTATAGTCGTCTTCCCCTTTTAGCGATTTATCACTTTGGGACATTCGAAAGCATGTGCAGTGCATAGTATGCCTGACTGGTTTTATAGGGGGGAGCTACCTTCGCGATTCATTTCGTTGCTGGTGTGGTGGTTGTTGGACATGATGAAGTTGTGCAGTAGGTCTATAGACTTAGGGAAAGGAACTTCTCATTTGGTGATGGTTGATTCTGCATACTTCTAGTAGCTCTATTTACAGGTAAGGTAAGCTTGGGATGCATGTAAAGATTATGGTATCTAGTTCCCCTTCTTTCCATCCTGGCAAGGTAATATCGTCGGACGGTCATAAAAGATGATTTCCGTTTTAGAAATCACCTACAATATAATGATTGAACCTTTGAAGCAGTGTTGGTAGTTACGAAATGCTTCTGATCATAATTTAACCATGAAGTAAATGCAGCTATCCTTCACTTAGGGATAGCTATCTCAGTATCTTCAAACTTCTTCTTTGGTTAATTGGTTTAGAAAGAAAGGAGCTAGAGAACTTGTGAAGGAAAAGTGTCTTATTTAAGCAGCTACTGAAAACTTAATCTTATCTGTTTCAATTAATTGTGGTGCATTGCCTCTAACTATGGCACATAATTGCCTCTTTGGAGAAACTTTTCTGCATTTGTTTTTTTGCAGTTCTCGGTTTCTGTTTTCTTCTAGGATGATGTTATGTCTTTTCTTGTGTTAAGGCTAATATTCGGAGGCATCTAAGTTACGAAGCTCTTGGTTGTGGTTACCTGGTGTTGTGGTTAGATTGTGACCGTGAAGGAGAAAACATATGCTTTGAAGGTAATTTTCCATGTTTTAAGCTGCATGATCCCTCGTCCTTTCATCTGAATGCTGAACAGTGATAGTGAAGAGGATTCTTGTGACATGCACTAATCCAAGGGCTTCAAGTAACTGCTTGCCTTTTCTAAGATAAAAGGTTCATCATTTTGCTGATTTCTGCTTCAAAGTGTTAGACGGCCAGACGACCTGGCCTTGTCTGCTAGATCTTAGAAACCTTTGTTGCCTTGCTTTTAAAATCAAGAAGGTAGACTTGAATGACCTGTGTTGTGCGTAAAAATACTTTTGTTTCCAAGCACGGTCCAGAGGGAAACATCTCTCTCTGGTCACATATTATCTCCCAATTTTCATTTTTTTGTTTGGGTGGGGGGGGGGGGGTTTTGAGGAGGGATGGTATGAAATTAGGTTCTCATGCTGTTTTCCCATAATATGCCAGGCAGTTTTTCCCTGGATTTGTGGAAAAGCCAAACTACAGTTTAGTGTTCCCTTCTTATTTTCCCTCTTCAACATAAATCCCAACATACTAAAGCAGCGTCAATTCTTTTACTTGTTTTTCTCAATTGTCCTCTTCACCTAAATTGTGAAACATAGTCTTGATCTCTTGTAGTATCTGTGGAATTCTTGTGAATGTCGTTAATTGTGGTAACTTAAGGATCCTGATTGGGAGATGTAGCCAGTAATAGATGTAGAAGATAAATAATTAGGATAGAAGAACAGGAATAAAGTGATTGTATTTTTTTAAATGCTGGAGTTTATTGTTGTTGGAAAAGGATTTAAGTGCGTTTTCCTGATTTAGGGCATCTTCTGTCTTTAAAAGTGATTTTGTTCTCCAGCAAGAATTCACGAGCTTTGGTTTATTTCATCTCTTTTTCCTGTTCCAGTTATGG